TTTCAGGCACACAATCAAGGTACAGCAGCTTAGCAATTACCACCCATCAGCTAACCCAAGCTGAAGAAATAGCGTTTGCATTGAGATGATATGCAAGATACAAGTTCTCTGTCAGCAAGAGTGCACAGAATAGTTTAAATCAGTGTTTACATGGTCTGAAAAGTTCAACCAAGCTCACAGTAGCACTCCATACACGCCCACCTGAGTTTACACTTCTGTCACTGATTCCCTACTCGTGCTACCAAATCTGTAATGTGTAGATTTACCATAACACTGCAGCATTATAAGCAAAGGCATTCTCACGATTTTCTTTTCTAAAATGAGCAAAAGCCTGAAAAAAGGAATGTCAAAGCTTCTGAAATGCCGGTGAGTCTATATGCAAGCAATCTGCTGTGAAAGATGGTCAGCATCGCCATTTGAGCACTGCTGATGACCAGCAGAAGAGCTGGTTCACCTGCAGGGACAACGTGCAGGTGTGATTGTGGTGGTCTGCTACAGGATAGCAGAGCCGAAAGGAATGCCTCAAATGAGAATTTATTGACATTTGGAAATAGAATAAGAATTGATTTCAATCTGAGACAAGAAAAGGCAGGAACTTATTCTCCAGTGGGGCAGTAGCAAAGCTTTGTGAATGATGATGTCCTACAGAACAGCACATCACAAAGGTAAAATCTCATAGCTTCGTATACCTTTGAAACGTTTGTAGGACTGCTTGGGAGTGATGCATTGTAGCTCGTAATTAGATTTCCCATTTCTCTCCGAGCAGGGAGGCACAGTTCTGACCATAAAATCCCTGGAGCTGAAATCACTGCTTGAACTAAATCTTCAAAGCTCAGGTCTGGAAAATCGAGTAGAGCTGATCTAGATTTTGTTATCTACCAACTGCACTCATTCTGTTGTGTGCAGCCTGCCTAGCACGGTGACTAGCCATCATTCAGGCTGCTGACCTAAAATCTTTCCAGGAAAATGCACTGGAATAGCTGAAGGCCATGGGACAAGTTATTCCTCAGCAAAGATTCAGCAGGGAGCTGAAATACCTCTGCTCTGCTGCAAAAGATTTTTTCAAAGCTGAAAATAGAGCATGATATGTACAACATCAACTTTGAGTTGAGGAGCTCCCCCACAGAGAGAAGCTTTTGTTCCAAAGGACGATGCTTATTATGTGCAGCGTTATAATGAATGCAATTATTCTGTAACTTCTGTCAAACATGGGAAACAAAGGAAATGCTGAGCTGAAATGACTCGTGATCCCGCCTCACACCTTCACACTGCACACCTGATAGATCTGCTTCATCAGGAAGTTTCCACACATTGCACTGTGGTAACGGTGACAGAAATAACTGCGTGTGTAAAAGTCTGATAGCACAGATATCACAGCCTATCCTCAGTGCCATTGCTGCTGCTTCAAGTCCTCTAAACAATATTCTATTCTGGCTTTTGATTATTGTCTGCAAATTGAATGCATCACAGCACATGAAGGGCTGATTCCAAACAAATGATCTGAACATAGGATTTGACAAGTACATCATGTTTAGCTGAACATTCACCAAGAAATATTTGAAGGTCTGAAACAGCTACTAACACGCCAAGTATATGAATGTTAAGGCCCAAACTACAAACTGCTTTCTCTGTGCCATTTCAGGCACGAACTGCTTGTTTCTGCACATGCTGTCATATAGCTGTAAAGGAAAGCGGTGCTTTTGGCACTCTCAGGAGTTCACTCCATGCGTTTTTATGCGCCGTTGAAGAGGCTTCATCCCAAGCTGGCCTCCCTTATTGAGTCCTGTGTCCCCCATCGACTTCATTAGGAGCAATGTGCACGGAGGATTTCTGACAGTGCTAAAAACGTCAGATGGAATATCGAGCGGCGAGGAAGCCGTATCAGTAAAGAAAGCTCTCTGGAACAGCCAGGCATTGACAGCAACACCTCAGAGTGCTGCACATAGCACACATTTACAGAGAAAACGTGTACATTTTTTTAAAGCATATATATTTCTTCTATTCCAGTTTTCAGGAGCAGTAAAAGTCTTCTCCCTCCTTCTTCCCTAACAAATTTCCAGGCAATGAGTGTGTTCCTCTGTTGTCACTGTCAAATAGGAACAAAGGACGGCCTTAAAGTATATGTTATCAATGTAATGATGGCATTGGTACCACAAAGATCATGAGGTACCATGAAGATCATCTGAAACAGAAAACCTCGCCAAAGACTGCAGGCAGCATTTTTGTTTGCGGGAGCCCCAGGTGACCCTGGTCCAAAGCAAAACCCTTCTACCCCTCTACCCCTCCATGCAAAGTATAACTGTGGTCATAAAATATTTCTGAAAGTGGGTTCTTTGTGCTTTGCCACAGCCACACCAAAATCTGCTCCTCCTTTGCAGACTGGCAGGCATGCTGCGTGTACGTTGTGACTTGGGCTGGCAGAAAGCAGCACTCCAGGGAGACAGAGAATACATCAGGAGAAACAGAGAAAAAGCAGAGTTTTCTAGACAAATGCTCTGACAACAGGGGCATGCCTGACACAGCTACCCATCTCTACAGGTCAGGTTTTATGCTACCACCTGTCTCTTTTATGATTGCCCTGTAAAATCAAGTGTCAGGCGCAAGGGATTCGTGAATCTTTGACTCTTCTCCCTTTTAAAGGTCAGGGCTCCACTTTTTAATTGAAAAAGCAAAAGGTGAATGAACCTGGCTGTGAACGCCACTGCCCTTATTATGCGTGCTCAAAGACTGCCAAACTACGTTGAGGCTTTTGGGGAGTGCAGAGAGCAGGGTGCCACCATCAACTTACAATGTCTCTCCAAGAAAGGAGGCATTGCTTGAGCCACAGAAAGGCGGAGGCAATTGCAGGACTCACCAGCATCAGGGTGGGCAGGGCAGCCACTTTCCTGACTCTTGTTTTCCTTTTGATAAACTGTGAACACGGGAGCCGCGTGATTCCTCCTTGGATTTTACCAAGCTCTTGTACACATACACTCTCATCACCTGTTCCATCTCTGTGCGTGCTGTTTGGACCTGAATGTAGAGGGTTTGGACTGATGGGTTTATTTTTGCAAAGCCAGGCATCATCTTGGCATCATCTGTTGAATATATATCTACACCTCTAATGGTTTCCCTGCCTTCTTCTCTAGTTTCTCTCTTCTGAAGAGACATTTTACCTTTAGCTTTAGTAAATTTGCCCATTAAGGCGCTTCTGTAGTTTATGGCACACATTTGTCTAACCTGTCACTGCTACCTCCAGTGAGAGGCTACTCCTTGATGCCTTTATGATAACTGTCCTCCAAGTTATTGTGTAATATGTTGTTTATCTGAGCTAAAATATTAGGAAGCATTAGATCCAAGCTTTAACTCTACCACTTTTCAGCCACCTTACCATCTTTGTATGGTCATTTTCACCACATTTTTTCATTTAGTTTTTTCTCACAATTTATCCAAGATGCTATTGGAAATTTCCCTCATACGTTGAGGATTATAATAAAAGAAAAAATGTTCATGATTTCTATTCTACAAGAAACCTGCATAAAATTCATCAGCAATTTTTTTTCTTTTTTCCCTTTGCATAGCATATATGTGTTTGAAGGTGACATGATAAGAAGACTTGAGAGGCCCATAATTTCCAGATACAGTTAGGTAGGTCTTGTTGCTCTTTCCCCAAAGCTTGCAGAGCTTTATAGCTAGCAATCCTTTCTGTTCTTCCTATTTTTGTTTTATATATCTCGTTTTATATATTTTATTTTATATATTTAATTCACGAAATTTCTTCTTGAAGATGTGTCATTAACGTGGCAAAAAATCCCAACTGATTGCATGTAGGTAGAAGACCACGTTATGTACTTACAGCCTGATTTAGACTAATAAAAAAAATTCCCTATTTTATGCAGCATTGTAATGTTCTGCTTGACCCTTTCTCTAACGCCTTGGTGTTCCATCTGCACTGACTGACTTCTGAGTGTTAAGGAGGTATATCATCACTTTCTCTGATGGCTATTTTAAAAAGATTCTGCTTTTATTGCCTGTTGCCATTGCAGGAATCATAGCACTCCTTACCCCTTGCTACTTCTATTCCATTTTCTTATTTCACATTCTTCTAGCTGTTAAGGGCTGTGTTTGTTAGCAGAAGTGCCTGTCTTGGCTCATCTTCTGATTTCGTGAAGAGAAGAAAGAATATATCTTCTGCCATGAAGACGTTCTGCTATGAGGTGGTATATTTGTGGATTGCCTATTACCTCCTTGCATTTCTCCATTTACTGGTCTGCAACAGGAGAATAATAATGCTCACTTGGAGCTTAATTGCGTATTGTTGGAAATGTATTCAAGACCTCTGGGGAAAACCTGACTAACAATTCTTCCTCCGCTGCTTTTTTCTGCCCTCTCTTTGCTCACTGTTAGCTATTTTCTTTCCAGTCCTAGCACTGTTTTCTCTTGCTTTTCTTCTACTGAAGAGAGATACAACCATCTGCATGGGCAAATCTTTGCTCTGACAGTGCATTGGTACTTGGCTGTACAATAGTCTCTCGAAGGATGTCTCATTCCTCTGCCTTTACCAAAAGTAGGGAAACTAAGATGCTCATTAAAATGAGGTCCTGTGACTTCATCGTTTTCCAGCTCTCCCAGGGCAATATCTACTAATACCTCTCTGGCAGGTCACCCCCTTGAATATTTCCCCATTCACTTTATGTGAAATGTTTTCAATTAGTCTGTTACCCATCAGTAGTCCTCATTCTTTAAAGGTAGTTTAATCCATGCCTGATGGATTATAGGATGCACCCTGACCAAGAGCACCCTGAAGTGAAAACGCACAGGGGCGATGCTTTCACTGCCCTCTCCAGCAAGAGCTGGAGGAGCAGCAATCAGCAGGCACAAAGCTGAGCTGTCCATGGCCCCTCACCCACCCATCTGTGCTCAGAGTGCGCTCAGCCTCACTGCACGGGACTCCCCCACCATGCAGATTCCCAAGTTGGGATCTGCAGCAGCCCTACCAGCCCTCCGCCACCCGTACTCACAGCACACAGAGGCAGTAGACCCCCGGGATGCTCTCGCTGTCCCGCAGCAGGTAGCTGCCATCAGCACCCGCCGCCAGCAGCAGCTTCTCCCCAGTCTCTCGAGTGATGCCCCCGTGGTAGATGGGCAGCGCTTCCATGGCCTCGCCAGCTGTGTCTGCACCGCTGCCACTGAACCCAGCACGGTGGTGGTGCTGCTGAGATAAACAGGATGTGTTCACACTTCTCAGCCTCCGCAAAGGGCAAGGCAGCACTGAGGGAAGAGTGAAGAACGAACATTGCATCTTTTGCTTTTTGTTCAAGCACTGGGTTTTTTTTCCCTTGCCACTTTTTGTCTTCCTGTTTCACAGGCTGTGACAGCATCACAGGCATCTCACAGCCCACCCTGCCCAAGTGTCCTTGCTCAGCCCACGCAGGATGTGGTGCCTGGCATGAGCTGAAGTGCTGACAAAAGGGGGGAAAGTAGGATCCTGAGGATTCTCTGCTAATTGTAGATGGAGTTCTTAAACCTCTGTTTTTGCAAAATCCTGAGAAGTGAGAAACTGAAGGCAGCAAGCTTGGGCTTGTGGCCACACCAGACTTCTGGTCTCAAGCTGCAGGCTTGAGTGTCCAGCCACAGCCCAGGCCCCAGGCTGATTTACCTCTGAGGGGTTGTCTTCATAGTCGTTGGTCGGTGGTACTTAATCACTGCTAGCACTTGTTCCTGCTGGAGGCAGGCAGGCCGCACTGCAGGCAGGGAGGCCCCACACATCCTTCCTGAAACCATGAGCACTGCTGTCATGCAGGCCCTGAAATCCAAAGACATCTCTGAGAAAAAAGCTGCTTCTCCCAGCTCCTGTGCTCACACAGTTCTTCAGCATGCTTCCTACTCAAAAGCTCATGGTTGAAACTTTGCTTTTTGTATCCCCTAAAGCATCCCTGCTGCAGCCATGTTCCCACAGCTGGGTGCGGGGGAAAGGGCATGAACTGAAACACAGCAGTAAGTACGGGTTGTGCTTGCTACGGAGTTGCTCTGAACAGAGGTTTTTCCCCTGCAGGATGGCAGTCCCAACAGCATGTCACTGTGCAGCTGGCATCAGGGTGCTGCACCCTCTCATCAGCACCAGGCTCCAGCATCCCCAGGGCATCATGTCCTGGCAGGTGTCTGCTCCCAACCCAGGGGCTGAGGCAGGAAAACCTCCTCTTAAATTAGTCTGACCGCTTCCACTGTTCAATGATTCTTCTGTCTGGTGATGCAGGTGCTCCTTGCCTCATTTCCTGAACTTGAGCACTGGGCTATCCTGGTCATTGTTTTTAATGGATTGTTGAAGTATTTGTGCAACAAAGTAGAGTTGCTGCCTGCTGCACGTGTGACTGATGTGGACGGTGACAAGGACTAAGCAAAGGACTGTTCCCTGGTAAAGCTACCGCCTATCTTTTCTCCTTTTCCAAACTACTTGCACTACTGTGGATTTCTTCTGACTGTTTCCAGTGTCCTAACCTATCTTTGACACTGATAGCCAATTTCAGAAAAAGGTTTCTGGCGTTAGTTGGAAAGGAGAAACCACCAGAGTTGTCCACTGCTGCAGATCTCATTTTCCCCCTCATCGGTTTTCAACTGAAGCAGACATAGAAAATCATAAAACTTGTGACTACAAGAAGATCTCTTAATAAGGGAGTGACTGCATTAATCCAGACCTGCCTGTCTCCTCCCAGCAGCTTGATGAAGCTTTTACAGAATAAAAAAAAAAGAGCTGCAAAGGCCCACCTTTGCTTTTGCGGGTGAGAAACCCACAAAAATCCAGCTACCCAATCCTGAAGCCAGGGCTTCCCTATGCATCCTTTCATGGGCACACTGACAAGGGAATATGCAGCTTCAAGAAGTAATGGAAATACTGAGTTCTGCAGCAGTGCGCTGATGGTCCCTTTGAGCACCCATGTCTGCTGTAGGATGCTGGATGTCCCTTTCTCTTGCTCGGTTTGCATGGTATTCAACATATTCTGGACACTGTTTTTTCGGTCCTTCACTAAATCAGTCCAGCTGGCAGTCCCTGGAGAACACTGTAAAAATTTATCTAAAAAATACATGAAGGGAAGGAAATACTTAACGGCGCTCTGAAATATTTGGCCAGGAAAAGCAGGCTTAGAAAGACAGGGCTGCAGACACCTCTTGGGTCATCAAGCCTAGTTCCCTGCTATCTTAGCCAAACACAGCACATAATCCCTTTCAGAAACTCATTATACTCTGACTTAAAAGTAACTTGGGTGGTTTTTTTTTTGTTGTTGTTGTTGTTCCCTCTGTTCTCATTGGAAAGCAATTGCAGAACATCACTATTCTGTTGTTTGGAAACCTACCTCCAATTTCTATCCTAAATTTATTCGTGACCAATTTATACTCATTTGCTCTTGTGCCAGTGTTGTCCTTTGGTTTGAATAGAGGTTTCCTCTTTGTGGAGCTCATGCCCATGTAGTATTTATAGTGCCTCTCCTGCCCTTCGTTTTGCCAAGCTACTTTCACACTTTAGGCTCTCCCTTCCCATGGTCACTGTTATCTTTTTTGGTAGCTTCCCAGATGTGAAGTGAATCACTGGTGAGTAGCGTGTGTTGTCCTGGCTGCCTTCTAACCTTTTCCCCAGGTAAAATACATTGCTTTGTATGCTCTGTGCCTTTCTCCATCTTAGTAAGTTCTTACCATTGAGTACCCAAATGTACATGCATGATCTTGCACTCAAATCCTTCTCAATTTCATCCAATTTATATTATCCCAGTTCTCATGGTCACTCAGTTCTTCCCAAATGAGAAGTCTTTTCAGTGACAGTAGGTCCCTACCTGATGCCACTGGTAAATTCAAGTAGCACATGCTTATATTTTTTATGCCATCATCGTTAATAAAAAATGCTGAATTATATCAGGCTCAAGACTAACACTTGGGAAACTGTGCTATTTTCTCTCAGACTCAATCCTCTCCTACTACTTCATTATCCACTTCCCAATTTTTTTGCACAAATCTCTTATTTTAACTAATAATTTCCCATATGGCTCTGTACCAACTGTGGTACTTACGTTTAGATAATTAGCTCTAAGCATTTCCTTTGTCTATAAAAGTAAATTAGGATGGTATTTTAAGCACCATCATGGTATTTTAGACAGGTACTTGTGAAAGGGCCTGAGAAGTGGAGGCAGGGAAGGCAAAATAAAATCACTTCAAGATTTTTGAACACCTGCAAAGATTTGAGCCGATTTTCATTTTCAGATGAGCTGCTTCATTCATCCCTAGTGATGACATTTTCATACGTTGTTGAATTTTATAACAAATCTGGATATTATAACATGAATGAAGAAGCATCATTAAAATTTGCAGATATTGCTATTTGACTGAAAATACGAACGACCTTTAGGACCTGTAAGAAATTAATGTTACTGCAGAACTGTTACAGAAAGGCCTTGTAGTTCTGCTGATGCAGCAGTAGTATCATAAAGGCCATCGCTGCAGAAGTACTGAAAAAGCAGCTTCAGAATCGCCAGCTATTGCAATGTTTTGTAGAAAAAATTAATTGGCAAAAAGCCACATTAAAATGCAGCTAACTTAAAATGTAATTTTCATTATTTCTTGTCACTTTCATTTTTAGTGTAATCTAACAAAATAATCAGAACAACTGTATAGAATAGTATTTGCAGACAGCCTTGTTATTCACATAAAAAAGTAATACTGAGATTCATTAAAATTTTGGTTTCACTGCAGGGTACCTGCAGAGTCACCATTATCACATTTCCTTTTTGAGCTGAAACGAGATTGAAAAATGCAGCTACAATTAGCTAATGAGAAATTAACTGCAGGGTTCTGAGCATCAGCAAAGCAGAATCCGAGGACATTTTGTCGTACAGCTTATACATCAGCATACACTTCTGCAGCCTTCATGTTAGTCATGATGCTCAGTGGATGTTGCTTGGAAAAAAAATAAATAAAAAGGAAGAAAAAAGTAGAAGATGGTTATAATAAATAAAGTTTGGATTCGGGAGCAGGTTCCAGACTTCATACTAGAGGATGCATAGTTTGGTCAGTTCACATTCGCTTTTGAGAAAGGCCAACCTGTAAGACTGGCCTGTCACAGAACTGCCCAAATCTTTGGGTAACCATGAGGGAGGTTGCAGAGCCCTTCAAATCAAGCAGAGCTCTCCTTACCTGGGAACATTAAGTCCTCCAGTGGCACTTTAGGTGCTGTCTGGAGCTCTGTACTGGGCTCAGAACTTGATAAGATAAACTTTCTCCTCGCTGGCAAGGTGGGCAAACGTCTGGTACTGCCTGTGGGAGTTGGATCTGGAGGAGACTGAGAGTACAAAAGGTTAAGGCCCTTTATGAATGAAACCCTTCATGCTCCTCAACATTTTTCTTCTGAGCACAGATAAGCACACGCATACCATAAGTGATATCATTTCACTGAACTTTAACAACGCTATTTCCTCTGCGTGGCCTCACAGCTTACCTGTGCAGTTGTTTTGAATGTTTTTTTTGAGCGAGATAACACTAAAATTGAAAGCTACATAACATGATGACATTCATATTAGAAGTTATCTGTGTTTTAATGCGGTTTCTTATACCAGTTACTATTTCGTGCTTCTTTCTGCAGCACCATTGCAACAGCTGGCCATTTTGCAGGTGCGTTTGCATTGCCCAAGCAGAGATGCCATTTGCGATAATGTCAGCACGAGCAAAGCTACTCTTAGGAGCTCGTGCTTTTTTGTTTCCAGCTATTACTCTTTTGACAACGCTTTCCCGTAACATTCAGCAGTGTGCGGGCAGTCGTGTGCATTACGCACCCAGCTGCTTTGGAGACCAGGGCCTCCGCATCCTCATGATTTCACCGAGGCAACTTCAAAGTCGACAGGGCTAAAGCGTGTAATGGCACTCTCTGGGTGGAGAAAATGTCCACGCTGGAGCTCTTCCTGGATACCTTCCTATGTGAGCAAGTCTGGAGTTGCACATAAGCTTTAAAAACTAGATTTTCGCACAACATGCATGCACAGTAGTAAAAATTGATTTGCTGACATCCCAGCTGAGTTCCTAACGGATATTTATCTGAATTACAACAGCACCGTGTAATTAGGTATAAATAAGGGCCTTTGTTCTGGAGGGGAGGAAAGTTTATCAACTCTGAACCATATGCAATTGCGTGTCTAATCTCTCCCTGCAATTATTTCAAATGCACATCCAGATGATAGCATTTATATTCATTCCGAGATTCACTGAGTTTCAGGCCAGAAGGGATCATTATACCATCTGGCCTGACCTCC